TTCAACCATTTAGATAAATTAACCACCTTAGATTGGCATTACGAGCTCTTATTATTAGTTGTAGAATTCGAATTTCAATTATTATATTTGTATATGTAAAAATAATTATATGTCTCTAAAAAATTACATGAACTGTAATTATTTATAATGAAAAACGCGTTACCAACTTATTCTTCTTTTTTTGCCTTCTTGGCCAGGGCTTGCCAATTACCAACTTAACATGTGCTCAAATTATTTAAAAGCCACCAAAGAGGGAAATTAAACGTGGCTCATGGAACTTACAAGCGTGGGTTCTACTTCTCTTCTCTTCCATTGTGATTGAAGATGACATAATTAAATATTTTTATGCATATTTTATCATAAATGTTACGGCTCGATGCCTTTTTTTCCCTATTAATTATTACCTTTGTTCTTTAATATAAGATATAGTTAACTCATTTGAAGAGATTAAAAAAATTAGTTAAGTTAATTATTTGTAATAAATAAGTGTTGTCTTTCTTAAAATACCTTTGCTAATCATGTATATTAGCTAGAACTACCATTTAATGGAATATTTAATATGTACAACTATAACAAGAAATGCTTTAAAAAAATGGATAAATATGAAAGATAAAATAGATTTGGGTTTTATATTTAGAATCAAATTGAAAGTCAAACAAATTCTTGTATTAAGAACTGAAAGTAGTATATTAAAACGCTGTACAGGTTACTATAGTTTAATCAATTATGGTGATAACTTTCCTTAACTCATTAATATTCTCCCCTTTTTTAAGAGTAATATGCCATCTCAGATTGATAATAAATCTAATTCATGAGAATAACTATTATTTATCACTATCATTAGCATTATCATCACACAAATGTACAATGATCGCGGAATAATATTTAATTACTGTTAAATTAATACTCATTATGTAATGATATTTTTTTTAAAATGTGAGTATGAAAAATCAGTCTTATAATAAGGAGATAAAATCTGGAAATAAATTCTTAAAATTATTTTTGCCCACATCAATTGTAGCTCTACCTGCCACTTTTAAGTTATAAATGTTTGACCTGACTATTACATTCAGAAACAAAAGAACCATAAAAATCTCTCTCCACCCCTCCAGCACAAAAGAAAAGGGCAAAATTAAAGAATTTTGATGGGGTCTTTGATTCTAGAGTACCATTACTGACCGATGGATTTCGCATCAAGCCTGACTGGGGTTTTTTCTCTACTAGTTTTGCATGCACTAATCAGAAATATATTTTGGGCAAATTAAAGAAAAAGAAAGAAAGAAAGAAAAAACGTGTGGATATAATTATAAGGTTTGTGGGGTCAACTGAAAATTAGAGAATAATACAAAAATTGACCGTATAGGAACTTTGTACCACTTGCGCTGTGTTGCTATCAGCGATCATTGGCTGCAGAGAGAACCATGTATAAGATATCAAGCTAGCCGTAAACACTTGTAACTCTACAGTGCAAGTGAATCCCAAAATATCTGTCTTATTTAATATTAAAAAATTAGTTAAATTAATTATTTATAATAAATGTATAGTGCTTTTTTTAAAATACAACCATCATACATTGAAATACCCTTTTATGTAAACTCTTTAACATGTATAATCATCATTGAGATTATTTGGAGCAAATAAAATGTATAAATATTAGAGACAAAATAGATTGAAGTCTTATATTTAGGATCAAATTGAATTTTCAACTAGGTCTTATAATAAGCATGATAGATAATATATATATATATATATATATATATAAAACAATCAAATATATGTTAATAAAATGTCAGTACAGCACAAAAAAGGTACAAAATACAGAGCATATAAGAAAACTTCACGCATCAGATATTGACTTGTAAGAAAATACAGGAGATTGAACATAAAAGTTTTAAATACAAGCGTTAAACAACCACTCAAATTAACATCAGTTGAATGAGAATTATATTGAAACCTCAAACACCGCTTGAAGGATGAAAGGATGAAACAGGAAATTTAAGTGAAAACAATGTCGGCACAAAGTCGATAATCTATCAATATGATATGAGCAAGTAATATACTTTATGAAAAATTGTCTCATTGTAATGCTGCATGATGAAACACCAATCAACAAGAAACCGATGAAGAAACTTATGTCACTAACTTTACTTTTGAAAGAAGAACAATGGGCATCTATCCAAAAAGGATCGAATTTACATCCTCCTAAATAAAAATTTAAAGAGGTGCTTCGGTTCCATTACATATAGATGAATTAACTTCAAGTTTTTCTTGAACGATACTACTTCCGATCTTTAATATAAGATATTATTTGATTTTTATTTTAGTTCTAAATATAAGACCTCAATATATTTTGTCTCTGGTATTTATATGTTTTTTTTCAATGTAGTCCTTCTAATAATAGTAGTTCTAGCCAATACATTTGACTAATAAGGATATTTTAGGAAAAATAATACTCCTTCGATCCTTAATATAGGACCCAATTGTTGAGTTAGTTTTGGTTATAAATATAAGACCCATTTCTCATATATATGAATTTTCTCTAAATTACTCCTATAGATACTCTCTCAATTATAATTAAGTAAAAGAGGAAGATGAGGTATTAAGAAAGATGGTTATAATATTTTAGGAAAAACATGTCATATTTTTTATAATTAATTAACTTATCTAACTTTTTTAATTTAATCAAATCAGTTAAATGGGTTTTATATTAAGAACAGGAGGAATACTTATTTATTATAAATAACTGACTTAACTTATTTTTTTAATTTCTTTAAATTAGTCAGTTAACTCTTATAATTAAGACCAAAGATAGTATTAACTTCAAGTTTGGTCACATATAATTACTAGAGGAGTTAACATATGAAATTGATTTGAATTAATATTAGAAAAGGGGCTATTATGAAATTTTGATTGGGAGAGATACGCACGTTTCGATACACTGCTTATAGGGAGGGCGTCAAGTCCATTGGCTCGCACTACTTCAACAGGGAGATTTGCATGTAAGGAGGGAATTATACTTTCCGCTGATTTATTTATCAATTATTTGAAGGAATTTAATTAGTTGTAGGAAAATTTTTTTAAAAAAAAGTAGGTTAGATTAAGACGCTATAACTAGCACCATTTCTGTATTGTAGTCTGTTCAAGCAACAGAAAATTAGAAATATATAACATATTCGGGACATAAAAGGTACGATGTCAGCAGAATATTTATTTTTAAATAATAAATATGATAGACTGACATTGTTTGGTACATTTTTACCTGTAGTAACTGCGGTTCTTAATATAAGATCCTATTTGACTTTTATTTTAGTTCTAAATATAAGACTCCAATCTATTTTGTCTCTTATATTTACTCAATTTTTTCCAAGATAGTCCTTCTAATAATTATAGTTCTAGTCAATACACTTAATTAGCAGGGATATTTTAGGAAATACAACACCTATTTAGGACAAATAACTAACTCAACTTATTTTCTTAATTTCTTTAAATTAATCAACTGGCTCTTATAATTAGGATCAGACGTAGTATTTCGGTTACCATCATCTTTTCCCAATATTAAATTTGTTAGCTTAAACTTTTTCAGTCACCAAATTTATTAAACAGTCAAAATTTTGACGTTAAAAGTTTACTACTTAGTCCTCTACAAATATTTTAACATTTGTAGTATCATGCGTATTGACCAATAATGGTTTGATAGTTGGAGTGTTTAAAGCCTATTTCCTTTTGACAACAGTGAAATTTATTATCAATTAAAAAAATAATGGTTAGGTTGAGTGAAAATAATTTGATTTTTTTTTTCAAAGATGGTCATTGATTCCCACAAGTTATTATAGGGGGTCCTCTTGCACTTGTATCACTGAAAATTAATTTTTCGTATTTTATTAAATGAAATACAGAGGGTGCAAAAAATTGCTATAATTGATCAATTAATGGAATTACTCATGGTGATCCATTTTAGCAAGTAAAAGAATCTGTCACTTGAATTGCGGTTATATTAATTAATTAATTAATCATTCAGCGATAATGGAAAATCTAATAGCACCAATCCTCTTACGCTGTATACAAAAGTTGATAATGCAAAGCTCATTATCTCGGCAATTATTACTCATTATGCTGCTAAATATGTGTGTTTATTGACTAATTTGTAGAATTCAGTTGGCTATTTATAATGAAATATAGTATTATTAACTAATTTGTAAAATTAAGCTGATTATTTATAACCAATACAGAGATTTGTGATATTATATACATAAATTTTGAAGTGTTCCTATAATTTAATGATTAAAATCAAACATAAAAAGACAAAAATACTCAATGAAAAATGTATTACGAGAAAGAAAAATTTAATACCACCTCTCATACTTAATATAAAATTTATTTTGTAGTGATAATTTTGATCACTCTAAATGAAGATATCATATTAGAATCAAACTAAAATTACTAAATGAGTATTTCTCCAATTAAAAAAAGTTTTATATTTAAGACTGGAAGAGTATTACATTTAGTATAGCAGGATAAAATATGGGTTAAGGCTCATCTAAATATATTTAAAACTCTAAAATATTTTGTGATGTAATTATAATTTTAAAATTTTAAAATATTAGATACATATTAAAAAATATTTTAAGATGTTGATTAGAACTGTCAAAATAGAGTAATCTCTAAATCTTAACCCATATAACATTCATACTTCTAATATGCCGTGCCACGTGGGCCCTCCATTACCACCTCTAGCCTCTCGCCACGTGTACGGCACATGGTTTGCCTCACATGCCACCTGTAACTGCAAGGAGCGACAGGCAATAATTCCGGAAAAACGAAAACCCCCCCAGACCAGAAGAGAATCTCCCTTAGCAAAGCCTGACCTCATTGACTAAAAGGCCCTCTCATTTTCTACAAATAACAATATATGCCACTCGTATAGGAATCCTTCGTAGGTCGTATTTATACGATGCGGATATATAATCCGCTTCATCTTTTTCTCTCCTTCCCCTAGATTTAAGCCTCAAAGCTCTCAAAACTTTCACGACGATAATCTTCATTTTCAATCTTTCTTTGTTTCTTTTTATCTTTTCCTCTCTTTCTCTCTCTGGCTGGCTCGCTTTCAGCGCGTGTCGGTGTACAGATCTTGCGCACTATACGCTCTTCTTTCTCTCTCCACAGTGTGCTTTCTTCATTTACTCATTCAGCTGCACCTAATCGTGGTTGCCTTTTCTCTTGGTGGAAGCTTGCGTTTGGGTTTTGTGAACGCAGATCTTGGGGGGGGGGGTGTGAAAATGAGATAGTTCTCGTTTCTTCTGGGTTGGAGCCTGGTCGCTTTTTGATTGTGGTTGGTGGTGGTGGCTGCTGGTTGGTGGTGCGGGCGGTACTATTGAGAATTGGAGAGGGAAGGTGCATGTGGGATTTCATTTGGATTCTATGTTTCGTGAAGGATTTGGGGAAGAGAATCCGCTGGGATTGTGGACTTGTGATCCGGAGCAGGGGTAGGTGGGGCAAATGTGGTTGAGTTTTGGGGAGAATTGAGACCTCGGCGTTTTTATTTTGTGAGTTTGTATCTCTAATCTTAACTCCATAGGACGGTTTTGGAGACTGTTTTGGCGTCGCCACAAAATGCAGCCAGATCAAAGAAAAAAGGTGGATTGTTAATTTTGTTACCCTGCTTGATAAACCTTTTGGCCCCGCTCAAATTATGTAACTTGAACAAATATTATTGCTTTTTGAAGTTCTGTCTGAATAATGGAGCTACCTTTTATGACAAATTGGATCAACGGCTTGATAAAGTCATGTTTATGTTGGTTGGTACTGGAATTTTCGATCCTCTGAAGCTAATCGTTTGGATAAGCCTCAGCCAAGTTGGTTCATCGGGGTTTTCTGACATGTCATTGCGTGCTATAATTTCTCTCATCTTCTCTATCTCTCACCGTCTTTTTTCTGTGACTAAGGGAGGATTCAATCTGTTGTTGAAATTCTCACCCCATCTTCGTGCTCTAGCTCTTAGATATTTGTTTTCCGTACTTTGTCTCAATAGAAGAGAGCATTCCTCTAATTAGATGGTTATAATTTTAACCCGGCATCAGATCAGTGTTTGTCTGTTGCTATTTGTTTTTATTAACGGTAAATATTATTGACTATATTTTAATCGCTCCTCTTTTTCCTGCTTTCCGCTTCTTCACCTCTGGCTATGATTCCTGTTCTTCTCGTCTCTGTTTCCTTTGAAACTTCCCTTGGGGTGTGATTCCTTCTTCCCACTCATGAATGGGCGTTACTGATCATGAGCAAGAACTGCCTCTGAATTCTAAATGGCAATCGAGTACGATATATAGGTATACGTCATCCGCGTCATTGACTTGTTGCTGCTGAGTTCAAAAGCAATTAGCAAGTGCTATTTGGCTTATTTGAAATCTTTAATGCGAGTAGAATGGGGAAAAAATGATGTATTGGAAGAGAGTTGTTCTTGGGTCATGAAAAGATTGGTGTCTCACAAGAACTGTAATCTATTTAATGGCTTAAACACTATGTTAGTTTTATCTGAGTCTATTAATCTAGGTACATTATCCTTGACTTACACATCTGTATAATGCCTAGTAATTTTATAAATGATTATAAGTTATTTAATATAAATTAAGATCTCCTTATGAGAAAGTTCAGGAAATTTCTATTTTGTTTTAACTTGCATAAAATAAATTTGATCCTCGTTTGTTGCTTTCACTTGATTAATGAAAGTTTCCACATTGTCAATATTGTGCTTTCTTGAGAATACTATGCTAAATAACTTCTTATTGCTGCTGCAGAGTTCAACAGAGATTGAATTTTTCTCTGAATATGGTGATGCCAACAGATATAAAATTCAAGAAGTCATTGGAAAAGGAAGTTATGGCGTTGTTTGTTCAGCAATTGACACTCACACCAGTGAGAAAGTGGCAATAAAGAAGATACATGACATCTTTGAGCACATCTCTGATGCTGCCCGTATTCTTCGTGAGATAAAGCTGCTCAGACTTCTTCGGCATCCAGATATTGTTGAAATTAAACACATCATGCTGCCTCCTTCTAGCAAGGACTTTAAGGATATTTATGTTGTTTTTGAGCTTATGGAGTCTGATCTTCACCAAGTCATTAAAGCTAATGATGACTTAACGAAAGAGCACTATCAGTTTTTTCTTTACCAGCTACTTCGAGCATTGAAGTATATTCACACTGGTATTCTTCAATATCTTCTTATTTAGGCAATTTGATATCCGATACTTGATTGTGGTTTCCTTACTTGAATTCATGTGGTCTGTATAAGTGTGTAATTTATGTTTTTAACATTCATGAATCATTATATTTTTTACTTAATCCCTTTTTATAAGTTATGTGAAATAAAATCATTGTTCATTATATATATTAACCAATAGGGAAGAGTTTGCGATAGGGCATTTTGTTTTGTTCGAATATTCAAGTTTTCCTGTAACTTCAATATGGGTTTTGCATTATCCTGACATTGCATACTATCTTGCCTCACTCATTTTAAGCTATTCCTTTGCCCCTTTTGCAGTTGTTTTGTTCTATTCTTGATTTTTTTTATTGGGTACATGGCTACATTGCAGCAAACGTCTATCATCGAGATCTGAAACCAAAGAATATATTGGCCAATGCAAATTGTAAACTCAAAATCTGTGATTTTGGGTTAGCTAGAGTTGCCTTCAGTGACTCACCAACTACTATATTTTGGACGGTATGCAATTCAACCCATTTATCTGTTTTTATTTTATTTATTTTATTTTTTCCTTTTTAGCTTTTTCTCCACTTTAAATGATATTAGTTTTAAAGTTTAATTATCGTTTTCAAAAGTAGAAGACGGTGTTTTGATTCTTACTCAATATGCAACTGTAGGATTATGTTGCCACAAGATGGTATAGAGCTCCAGAGCTTTGTGGATCATTTTACTCAAAGGTATCCCTTCATTCAGATTATTTGTGACAGTGAGAAATTGACTTACGTGTGGTCTTCTCACCCTACCTTAGTTCAAGATCATTAAACATGCATTTGAAATTGCACATGCATGCTCTGTTTACTTCCTTTCCCATCAATTTCTTTGTTGCGTTCCTCTTGTTCCAACATGATTGATTGAAGGAAGTTACTCAGACTATTTGAGATATTCAGTAAAATGAAAGGCTATAAATAGGGAAAATAAAGAGGAATATATAAAAATATATAAACTTGAAGATGAAAGCCAATTTTTGTACCACGTTTGGGATGTTGGAAATTGCAAAAGCTTATTTTTTTCCCCCAATGTCATAATGCAGTATACACCAGCAATTGATATCTGGAGTATAGGTTGCATCTTTGCAGAAGTACTTACAGGAAAACCACTTTTTCCTGGTAAAAATGTCGTCCATCAGTTGGATCTGATGACTGATTTGCTTGGGACTCCCTCACTGGATACAATATCTCGGGTAAATTGATAACCCTTCCAGTGTTTGTGGAAAAAAATTGTTATTTAGGCTTGCTTTAGTCTCTGGCTGACATTGTTTTTCACATGACTTTCTTCTATGTTGGATGCAGGTTCGTAATGATAAGGCGAGGAGATATCTGACTAGCATGAGGAAAAAGCAACCTGTGCCATTTTCACAAAAATTTCCTAATGCAGATCCTTTAGCTCTACGATTACTGGAAAGATTGCTTGCTTTTGATCCGAAAGACCGGCCTACTGCTGAAGAGGTTTGTTACCTTTTGCTCTGTTGCTTATGTATGTGCATTGAGAAACATTATAGATTAATATTTAACTGCCTCAGTATTTTCCAATTTCCTTGGACAAAAGAAGGCCTAGTGTGTTATAGAGGTTGTACACCAAACTGGAAAATGTTGCCTTCAGTTTCTTGCTCCAGATGCTGAGTGTTTTTTGATCTTGCGGGTTTTCAGGCATTGGCTGATCCTTACTTTAAGGGATTGGCAAAGGTTGAGAGGGAACCGTCCTGCCAGCCTATCAGTAAAATGGAGTTTGAGTTTGAAAGGCGAAGAGTTACAAAGGAGGAAATACGAGAGCTAATTTTCCGTGAGATTTTGGAGTATCATCCGCAACTGTTGAAGGACTACATAAATGGAACAGAGAGACCTAATTTTCTTTATCCGAGGTTTTTTTTCCTTGGCCTTGGATGCATTTTAACTTCTATGTTGTCCTTCTATTGATAAACTTGTAGTCAAATTTCTATTTTGTTATTTTCTACTTATACTTTCTGGGTGTGTATTCTTTACAGTGCTGTTGATCACTTCAGGAAGCAATTTGTTCATCTTGAGGAAAATAGTGGTAAAAATGGCCCCATGCCTCTTGAAAGAAAGCACGTTTCTCTTCCAAGGTAATTCATAAATGCAGTAACTCATTGCATTTTCCAATTATTTGTTTGTATTGTAACTTCATTGATGTAATTAATGCCTTTGGTTTTATTATTCTTATGACGGGGATGAATGTTCTGTGATAAATAATAATGATGGCCATTTGTTGCAATAATTCCAACTACTCCTATCTTCTAATTCTGAACGAGGGGCATAATTGGAAACATCCATTAATTGCACTTAAAATTGGGTAGTTTTTGGTTTAAATAAGACCAACAAAATCACGTAGTTTCTGCTTTTATAATTGAGACTAGGGAGTGCAACCTACCATGAATTTCCTAGAACAAAACATTTGATGTATATGTGTAAAGAAAAACCGATAAAGAGCAGCTTAGCCTGTTCTGAGTTAGCTCTAATTGCAGAAAGAAACTGCAACCATGCGCATCAGCTCTCTGTTATGTAATCTTTTCATGAAGTGTCCAATTTAGTTCTTTATAGTCAGTGGTGCGATTGAATACAAATGCATATCAGTTTTCTAAGATTAATCTACTCTGTTGGGTTGTGGATGAGTATTATAAAGCATGACTTGCATATTTTTAGTCCGCATACATTAAAATTTTGTGCGAGAAGCAAGGGTTTATATTGTGGTAAATTAATGGCGATGAAGCTATTCTCCCTTGAATTTATTTTCCAGTTGTGATTAATGTTGCTCTTTCAATGTTGGTGTGGGGGGCAGTTACCTCAATGGGTTAACATTATCCTCAGTTTTTCCCGGCATAATTTGCTGCCAAATATGTGCATTTTTTACAAGAGTCTCCATTTCTGAGAACTTCAGGGGAAGTTATTATGTTTTGCTCATATCTCGGATCTATTGGTAGGTCAACGGTTGTGCATTCAAATATGGTTGTACCAAAAGAGCAATCGGATATCAATTCCGGCAAGAACAGGCAAACATCTGAGGAATATAATAAGAATCCCAGAGATACAGAAATTTCTGTTACAAGGTCAATGCAGGGGCAGCTGAGAGTCCCAATGGGTATGGAATTGCTGTTGTTGTGTTCAGTTAATGTTTTACATTTATGAATAACTGAATTGTTGACATTGTCTTACTTCTCAGCAAAACCCGGAAAAGTAGTTGGACCAGTTGTTCCTTACGAGTACGCGAGTGTGGTCAAGGACTCTTATGATCCAAGGACATTTATCAGAGGTTCTATGCTTCCTTCTCAAGCTGTTCACCCTACTTATTATTACCACAGATCGAGCTCTGGAAATCAAGAAAGGTCAGCTACAACAGAGTCTGATAAGGGTGTATCCGTGCAAGCCAAACACGCGCATTCTGAAGTTCGTGCCAAAATAGCTCCAGATATAGCTATTAATATTGATACAAACCCTTTTTTTATGACACGGGCAGGAGTGAACGGCATCGAACAGGATGATCGAATAGCTATGGATACGAATCTAATACCAACGAAGGCTCAATATGGTCGGATTGGTGCCACCACAACGGCAACTACTGGTCATAGAAAGGTTGGTCCTGTTCAGTATGGCATGACTGGTATGTTTTAGGAGTTATCACCTGGATATTTTGGCCAATGAAGGAGAAATCGTTGTAGAGAAAGGCCCTTTATGGGAGAAGGCACGTGGGTCTCTCGTAGGTTCTGTAAAATAAGGGTGAGCGAGGCCGTGAGGCAGTCATTCCCTTCGAAGAGCCTGCTTTCTCTGGTCAAGAGATGCTTTAGACTTTGGTAAGAAGGTGTATAATTGGAATTAACTTCTACTTATTGAGATCCTCTTTCATATCTCCCTCTCTCCCTCTCTCCACTCAATTATGATTAATAAAAAGGATGAATCGTATGTAAATTTCTGTAGTATTTGTTATGCAGTTCCTTGAAGAGTGTCGCAGGAAAATTCAATCTATGTTTTTTCCTTGGAGTTTTATGTGTTTTACTAAGAACTATGTTTGACTCTTTAAAATTAGTTTTAATAAGACAGAAGGATAGATTACTGAAATGTGAAAATTTCTAAATAGTTCCGTGGCATAATTTTTTATTTTTTCCCTCAAGGGACTTCTTTGATGTTTGATTTTGTTGCCAAATGACCCTGTTGTCTGTAGAGAAGGGAAAAAAAAAAACCCAAAAAAAAAAAGAATTATAACGAGATCTTAAGTAAAAAAAAAATTGTAAAATAAATCCTAGAAATTGTAAATCTCTATTTTAGAATTTGTCATTACAGACTGATCAGGTTATTATTAGAATTTTTTAATAATTATTTTTTCTTGGGTCTTGATTATAATTTTCTCAAAAAAAAGAAAAACCTCCATTGCCTACTAGCTGCCACTGGTGGCCACTGGAGTTTCAACTGTGAGAATTTGGCATCTGCCCACGTCAGTGATTGGAAATTATTGAGAAGGGGGTGACATTAAAGATTTGTTTGGTACGAGGGAAAAATAAGAGGAGGGGTGGAAAAATTTTTTTTGGGTTAATACAAACTTTAGTCTTTTAAGTTTGTTTTCATTTTGGTTTTAATCCCTCAAATTTCAAACCATAGGTTTTGGTCCCTCAAATTTCCTTTCATTTAAAACATTGGTCCCTATAATTTAATAAAAACCTAGACCATTTTGCCCCCTGAGGGACCAAAACCTATAGTTTGAAATTTGAGGGACTAAAACCAAAATAAGGACAAACTTGAGGGACTAAAGTTTGTATTAACCCTAATTTTTTTAATCAGTTCAATTTAAAAAATTTAAAAAATAAGATTAAAAATTTTTAATTAATTTTTAATACTTTTTTGTATTATTTTTTTATTAAAATTTTAAAATCCTATTTTTTTAATTTTTTAAATAGAGTTTATTAAAAAAAAATTTTCTTCTCTTCTTTTTATTTCTCTCGTATCAAACAGTATTCAGAGGGAAGCGGCTATTGATCTCAAGGATCATTTTTTTTTTTGGGGGAAAAATTATGGTCGATATGTCATTTTATAACAAAAACTAACGTCAGTGTTTGTGGACTTGGAAATTATGTAGGAGTATTTGGAGATTTCCGAGGGACCTTAGGCTTATATTATAGGCAATCAGTGTAGTTGTACTCTAGGAATGAAATTGAGTGACTGACTGACTCACTATTGTACATTTGCTCTTCTCCAACACTTTATCGTCATCGAGTCAATAAAATAATTGAAAATTATTACTTTTTATTTATGTCCAATTTTCTTTGTAGATCAAATGAGCTTCAAAAGTAGGAAACTTATTTTTTTTTCCCCTAACCAAAAGTGGTATGATTGCGTGTTACGGTATTAGTGCAGCATGGATGTCTCCTCAAGAAATATCAAGGGAATTTTTTTTATTTCTTTTGGCATTTATAAGAATTTTTTACAAAAATATGTTACTATTTATTATTTTAGTGTTGTTAAAACCTATTGAAATATTTTCATTAAATCTGATTTAAAATTTAATCATTCCAAACTTCTGTTCATAAAATTTTCCTTTAAACAAATGATGTGTAGAGGGAGGATTTGGTGTATTTAAGTGTGGAAGCTAGTAATAAAATAAAATATTTAAGTGAGGAAAAATATTGAATATCTATCCATTTATTTGACTTAGATTATTTTTATTGAGCTGAATAAAACAAATATTGCATTAACTACTTAATAGTTGTTAAAAGGGAGAAAGACCCAAAAAAAAAATTAAAAATATACTCCTCCGGTCCTAATTATAAGACCCAATTGACTTATTTGAGGAGATTAAGGAAGTAAGTTAAGTTGGTTATTTATAATAAATAAGTGTTGTTATTCCTAAAATATCCTTGCTAATTAAGTATATTGGCTAAAACTATCATTATTAGAAGGATTATCTTGGAAAAAAATGCATAAATATAAGAGAGAAAATGGATTGGGTCTTATAATTAGGACCAAATAAAAAGTCAAATTGGGTCTTATAATAAGGACCGGAGGAGTACAAATTTTAATTTAGGATGACCTGACTACTTTGAGATGTTTGAGGGTTTATTTCAGCTTATATAAAATAAAATTACATACACGCCTTTCATTTGAAATCCTTGAATTCCATAACAAATAACAATTTTTGTATAACCAATGATAAGAACAAAATAGTAGAAAATTGCCCAAGGATGACAAGGACATCTTAGGAAATAAAACCTTTTTGCATAACAAATGAAAATAGCCGCTTAACCATTGACGAAAGCACAAAAAAAATTCTCCGTGACTATATTCTTATTATGCAAAAGTTGTTATTACTCCTTTTAGTTCTTATTATAAGAACATTTTAACTAATATCTACAAACCAATAAAAATAAGAAAAAAACCATTTTTTGGTATCTATATTTTTTTTTGATTAAATTTTTAATTTTTCTCTATTAACAATGTTAACCTTTGCATGGAGACTAAAAATGTTAATAGAACAAAGTCATAAGAGCTAATGTCGCTAAAAAAGTAAAATTAAATAATTTAATTAAGAGGAAAAAAACACATAAATACCAAATTAAAAATTGAGAGAAAGTATAGATACTTGTAATATGGTTTTTTCTAAAAATAATTAAAAACATTAAATTTGTTATAAAATTCAAGTCACCTTATTACCTAGAGGGAGTACTAAGAACTTCAGAGTAACTGGTCCATCTTGAGATGTAAATGAAGATTTGCATATTTTTAGGTATTTGCCAGTCGTTCTCCCTTGAGAGAATGAGATTGAGTGGCTTAAAAAGAGTTGAAAATTGGAATACATTGAAGGGTCAAAGACCTCAGTCTTACCTAGACGAGTTGTAAATCCTTGAAAATGAATTGTGAATTGCTAAATATAAGTTGCAAATTATAGGATATTAGTTATAAATTTCAAAAAAGAGATGTTTAGGATTTCTATAAAGTTGGAGTCTTGAGTTCCTGAAAATCATCAAATGTCAATTGTAAATTGTGAAGATCAGTGGTACGAAGATAAAATTAACCGACAGTTATGATGAGTAAATGACTTGGGGCGCGATAAATGTCCGAAAATCTTGGACGAGTCTAGACTCTCAATGATCGATTGGCCTTGTTTATTAGTACAGAATAATATAACTTTCATATATAATGATTCTATTATCATGCATGAACGAGAGGCATGTAATTTATAGATTTTTGAATCTTTTGTGAATTGTGATTACCAAGATATAATCATATGACTATGGAGATCGACTGCTGAATTTAGCGTCTTGCAATGCATTCGAGACTCGACTTTTGGGACCAACAAGAAATGGGGAGTTTCATAATTTGTTGAACCCTGGGAAAATCTTTCGCATCCGTCCTTGATTTTCTTGGGGATTGAAGCATTTACCAGTGACTCATTCTTTTCGACTTTGAACACTGACACTGTCCTCAGGTTTTATTAGTTTCTCATAAGAAATACTTCATCGTTGTTGTTTGGATGGTGAGACGTATGATTTTTCTTACTCTCGATCTTTTTGTTAAATCTTTTCCATTTTTCTTTTTCTTTTTAATTATTTGGCGAATTAATTAAGTGCATTGTTGTTCTACTATTTTTAGTATCTTAGCCAGTTTATCGCTTAGTTTGCCGTTCCTTGTTCTTCCAAAACTAACAATGGCGGATGATGAGGTAGATGATCAAGTCGGTGAGGAATTTTGTGATCCCGACGTACGCTGGAGTGACAGTCACGTCGAGGAATTGACGAAAAAGATCGATGCGGTGGAACATGAGAGAGACGGATTGGCGAATGAAATTGCAGGTAGGAAGACTGAAATCGATAAACTGACGCAGGGGATTGATGGCTTGAGAGAAGACGAATCGAAGATGTGAGAGAAGATTGAAGGTTTGGAGAGAGAGTTTGAACGGTCTGAGGTGGCCAATTGACTGAAGGCAGCGGAAGCTATGGCGGAGAGAAAGGCCGACCTGGAGGCCGAGGTTTCCAGGCTTAACCGTGATTCAATATCTGTAAAGCGTGCTGCTGAGGGATCTAGAACAGAGTGCGCTAAATTGAGGAGCGTTTTGGAAGAGAAAGAATCAATGGTGTTGGATTTAGAGTGTGAAGCAGAAGGGTTAAAGCAAGCAAAATTAGAAATCGACAAGAAGGCGAAGGACCTAGAGAGGAAAATTGGAGTTCTTGAGATGAAGGAAATCGGGGAAAAGAGCAAGAAAATTAGGGTCTTGGAGGAGTTGAGAGAGGAAATTGGGGGAGACAGAGAAGGAAATTTGTGGGTTTAGACACAGGCTTGAGCATTTGCAAAAGGTTATCCTGGAGAAGGGATCTGTATTGGAAGAAAAGCTAAATCTGGAGGAGGCTCTGAGAGAATCAGAGGAGAAAACAAGAAGCATGGAATCCGATATTTTGAAATTGCAGGAGAAAGTTAAGGAAGCACAGCATGTTATCAAATCTTTAAGGAAAAAGCTGATGAGGTAGTCAATGAAGCTTTGAATAGAATGGATAACGAAGCAAAGGCAAAGGGGTTGAATGGGTTGAGGTTGCAGTGGCCTGTGGCTGCAGCATCTACTGAAGCTATTGCTGTAGCAGCTGTTGTTATCTTTGTCTGCCATGGAAAACATGTGTGATTTCCATGAGCAGAGGAACAGAGGAAGGAGGAACAATGAATTGGATGACCAAAGTCAGCCCCAGTTCTAGTAACAACAATACTTCAATTTTGTTATTCATAAATCTAATGCTTTTATTCAACAGGGGAAAAAGAACTAATGCTTTCTGGCTTTGATTTTTTTCCTTGAGCTAATAAAATTTTGATTCATATCTGCATGTTAGTTGGTGGTTGCGAGAACTAAAACTAATTGAGTACAAGAGGAATGTCTTGCCTTGACTTATTGCAAGCAGTAGGTTTTTGTCCTGCTGAAAAAGAGCACGATTATGTGCTTTCTGATCAGTAGAAAAATTCTTTTTTTTGGGTCCATTCCATGCAATTAGGATATGGTTTTTTTTCTCCTAGTATAAAAAATATTGTTATTCACAGGGCCAAATTTATTAACAAAATGGATGATCTGGTCTATGTGATATGAATCTGGGGCGTACAAAGGCAAGATGATCATTTTCCTTTGAATGGCTTTTCTTGTTCTATAGCCCTAGCAAAGTTCCAACCACAAAATATTCTCAAGATGCATGATTGCATCCACAGTAGACCTCTTCAAGGAATTCAATGTGTGCTAACTTTGTGCAATACCATGAAATATATTCTCTTTGATGCTAAATATAAAATTAACTAGTTTGCATGAATTAAAAAAATTAATTGAATGTGTTGATTTTTTTAAAACACTTATCCTGTTACATATTTATATTAGAGTGTAATCAACATAGCTATAGCGATATTTTGACAAAGAATATAGTAAATACGTGAGATAAAAAAACATTAACATCTTGTGTATATAATTAAAGCAATATTCTTAATTTAGATTGGACAAGGTAGAAAGATATTATATCAGAACTAGTTTATTTCGGCGCTTGAAATCTCCTCGCAAGAATGCCATGCTCTGTGTGAAATCTAACCCCAAAGACTAGATGATCATTATATCTTGCCAGGCTTTTCCAATTTGTCAAGCTGGGATCCCAACCGAATGGGTCTAGGGAATATATCGCAAGCCAACTTCGTGCAATATTTTTGACATGATGCATAATTGCGGTTAATTTAGAACTAGCAATTAACCTTAACTTTAAAGGCTCATTATATGTCACATTCTACGAATCATGAACATCATAACAAGAATAGCATACTTCAAATCAAAATTATATCTGAAATCATATTTTTCACTAAAAAATAGCACAATTGGAAGATTGACTAGGAACGTGAAACCACATCGTAGAAAAATCCGACATACCAAATTTGTGTAAATTACCAAATCAAGCAGCAAGTACAGAGACAGACACACATATTACTGAAAATCACCAAACTTGGGCAGCCCCAAACTTGTGAATACTTATTGAAGTTGCGGTCATTTATCAAAGCTTCATCTAAAATTCCATTGATCAAAGGGCTTAAGCGCCGAATCTTCTGGGACTCATGCGAGTCTTGAAAATCTGGAATCAACCACCTATTGCTTAGAATAACAAACATGAATAATATGAGTTTACTTTGCCACAATCAGAACTGAAAAAGATCTTTTGAGTGTGAGTTTCTTTTTAAAATGACAATTAACTTGTAAAGAGAAAATGAAAATCTAAACTTTTGGATCATAAATCTAAATGTTGTTTTGAAACATCAACAACTCTTAAAAAAAGTTAAATTATATTTTTGGTCCTTTAACTTTAACTTTATGTAAGATTTTAATTTTGTACCTTAACATTATAGATTATATTTTTAGTTTGTCAACCCTAAAACTTTTAACAAAGAAAAAAATTGATGATATTGAGATCTTCAATGCTGAAATAACATTCTTAAATGTTAATATACGAAGTTTAATAACTATGATTGTTACAAAGAAAAAATTATCATATACGATTTTAGTGTTAAAAATATATTTTTTAAAGTTAAAGGACCAACTTAAAGTCTTGTATAAAGTTAAAGAACCAATTATATAATTCTGCCTTTGAAAAATGAGGAACATGATATAAGGACACTTAAATATTTTAAAGATTGATTTGGGCATTTTAATTGTTTTAGAATAAAAGACCAACAACTTAATTTCTTTTAAACAGTTGAAATTAGTCGTTGCATTCATACATGGACGGAGCCTTAACTTGCATCATGCTTTTGATTTAGTAAGCAACAAACAGAAAAATGAAATCATTACAACACTACTGATGAATTTGTGTGGAAATAAAAGTTATTATGAAAAATAACTTTAGATTCGAATAGATAGAAGTATAACTTTATAACCAACCTGGAGTTGCAGCATATTCCCATTCAGCGGAATTTTTGGAGCTTTATGGCCACAATAACATAGATTCGATCAACCACACCATTAAAAAATCGAAAATAAGAGTGCCTCCATGCTCTGTTCAGGACTAGTGAACCACAAACTACCCAGAATCCTACAGCAAAGCCAACTCCCATTCCAAGATACAATGACTTCAAAAAACCATCATCCTCATTTTCTTCAACTTTCTCTGTGTTATCTGGTATTGTGCAGTGCTTTTGAAGAGGAGGCCCACAAAGATCAGGATTTCCGGCGTAACTCCATGCATCAAAACTCTGAAGCTGAGTGCCCAGTGGAATTTGGCCACTGAAATGGTTGTATGATAGATTCAAAACACTAAGAAAAGATAGACCGGACATGCTCTGAGGAATATTCCCATGAAGATTGTTGTGGGACAAATCAAGAGATTCTAGATTTTTCATCTCTCCAATATGCTTTGGTATCTCTCCTATCAAATAATTGTAGGACAAGTTCAGTGATTGTAACTCGGTGAGCTTGAACAATTGCATAGGAATTTCTCCCGATAGCCTGTTAGCTGATAGATCAATACTTCTCACCAACTTCAGATTTTTCTGATACTCTAATTGTTGACCCTTTGTATGCAAATCAATTTTCATGAATTCGTCTCTACTTGGTAATTCATAATGTGATGGTTGAACGTGTAAAACATGTTCAAGATCACGGAGAGACAAACTGGTCGTGTTGTGCAGACAGTGAGGGATTGATCCTGAAAGCTCATTATTAGCAAGGTCTAATACCATCAATTTAAAGAGACGACATAGTTGTAGCGGAATGTTCCCTGTGAATTGATTGGATCTCAATTTTACAATTGATATATCTTGGGGCATCCATGCTTGTATATCTCCAGAGAAGTTGTTTGCTTCTAAATTGAGAAGCAACAAAGACTTGCAATTATTGAAAGTCGAAGGTATATCACCAGAAAAGCCATTATTATGTAGATCTAATGCCCTTAGGTCAGGTAATGATGAACCCATCATTGGTGGAACTCGACCAGTCAATTGATTATTCCCCAAGTATATGTAAAACAAAGATCTCCAATTGTTCCAACAATCTGGAAGTTCTTGAGTGAGATAATTATTTGATAGGTCCAAATACTCCAAATCAGTCTGGTTAGTCTCAGAGTGACACAATAAAGTGTATAAAGGTCCCGAGAAAGAGTTGTAAGATAAATCCAAAGCTTGGACCCAATTTGATACTCGAGGAAGCCTTCCTTCAAATTTATTAGACGACATAAATATTTTCAAATACGGGTTATCCCGTCTAATTGAGTTGGCAGACTTATTTTGACCAAGAATTTTTGGGAGCGGACCACTCAAGTCGTTGAAGCTAATATCTAAATAGTCTAATGTAGCTGATGCGTTTAGGAGATTAGAAGGAATGGAACTGTGAAACGAGTTATTAGATAGATCAAGGATAGTTAGGCTATCAAGCTGGCCAAGCCACTCAGGTATTGACCCTTTGAGTTGGTTTTTCGATAGATCTAACAACCACAGATTTCGATAGCCTGAAAGATCTGGAATTTGACCTCTCAAATTGCATTGACTGAGATAAAAACTGTCGAGATGATCTTCGCTAAGATTGAACAACCAATTAGGTAATCCAAATGTAAAATCATTCAGACTAAGATCAAGAATAAAAAGTAAGCTAAAATTGGCATGCTGGAAAGACAGAATAGAGGTGGTCAAATTACAATCACGCAAAATTAAATTCTCCAGAGGTAGCGAGGCCAATGATTGAACCCAATTGGTTTCACTAGGAAGATGAATGCCACTGAGGGCGAGACCTGTCAGGGACGGAAGCCGAGAGAGCCAATAATGAAGATTATCAGTGTGGAGATGAATATTGTATGATAAACTCAGATAATAAAGCTTAGAAGAATTGGGTAGCAAATGGGTATGAGTTGCAACAGAATTATTGATAGGCGCCATGCTTATGCGTTCAAAGTCATTGCCGTCCAAAAACAACCCTTCGAGAGATTCAATAGCAAGTAAAGAAGATAAGTTGATTTCACCTCTCAGTAATTTTGAATGATTGTTGCTTATTGGATCAACATAATAGTCTCTGTCGTCCGACAGATCAAGGTTAACGACTCTGTTGTTGGTATGACACAGAACTCCATACCATTGGCAGCAATCTGGGAGAGTGGACCAAGAAGAGAGGCGGTTGGAGGGATCAACAACGCCTTGTTTGAAGCTTAAAAGTGAACGTCGGTCCCTCTCATGGCAGCAAGTGATTGTGTTGAATCTCACTGCACATAGCAACGCCAACAGAATCAGAGACATTTGTGACGTCCAACGAAGAATCATCATGAATCTGTTTCTTGAAGTGATGCAGCAGCGATCGAAACGGTTCCTTGAAATATTTATATAAGCACCTGTGGATTTTTTTAAAATTTTAATTTTTTTTGAAATCATATTAATTTTGGTTAAAGTATATTTAGTCTTTTAAATTTATATAAAGTTTTATTTTGGTACCTTAACTTCAAACAATATGTTCTTAGTTATTTAGCTCTAAAACCATTAACAAAAAATGATAATATTAGGATCTCAAATATTAATGAGAACTTCTAAATTGCTATATCAATTTAATTTTTAAAACAATCATGATTATGACAAAAAATTATCAATTAAATGACTAAAGATATACTTTCTATAGTTAATTAAGGAATCAAACTGAAACTTTGTATATAGTTGAAGAATTAAATATATTCTTTAGCCATTACTTTCTTATAGAAAATCTTAGTTCCACCTCACTAAATTTAAAAAGAAAAATAAATTGCGTGATCTTTTCCTTTAGTTATTGAAACAAATTTCTCTTTATTCTCAAAATCTATAAAAATATTCCAAACAAGACAAAACATAAAATACAAGGACTTGTTCTAAATGTTTTTGAAGATTTAGTTCTTTCCATTTTCATGATGAGTTGATTTTGAAAGTGGATAGGAGGTTTGGATGATTTAAAAGGAAAAAAAAGGAGAATGATAAAATTAAGTCTCTGTTTTTTCTTTTTTGGAGGAAGACTGATAAAAGCACTTAAAAATAGAATGAAAGTTATAAAATTTTTGAAAAATTTAAAAGAATTTGCATTAATGCTCAAAAATAGAAGGAAAAAATCTACAATTTTCTCAAAAAAATTTGTTTATCTTACTCTTTTTATTTTTCTTAATGACCTTTTTTTGCAAAAATCTTGCAACCTTTTTTCCCAAGTATTCCGACCTTGTTTCCTACGTCTTTTGCCCAAATCACACTCAATTGCTTGTGAAGTCTTCTAATAATTCCAACCTTATTCAATAGCTGGTGTGTGAGGAATCAATCAATGGCTACCATTACCTAGACATGTACTATTTCTCATCTTTAATATAACACTTAGTTGACTAATTTAGAAAAATTAAGAAAATTAATCAGTAAATTATGTTAATGTATTTATATACTCAAACCAACACCAAAAAATTTTTAGAGATAAGAACACAATGAGAGACTCACGCTTCAAATTTTTTTATTTTTTAATTTTTAATTTTAAAATAATATATTTGAACTCGTTAAAAAGTATGAGTGGTTTATGCAAGGACTAAATTTTTTAAGACAAATTTTCCTGATAGAGAAGAGAAGGGAACAAAACTTTAACAGAAAAAAGCAAAAAACGAAAGGAAAACAGAAAGAAGGCAAGATCCCCAATCCCCTTTAACAAGCCAGAGAAAAGGTCGATTGATCAAAGAGATATTGTCATTAAGTTATTAGAGCAGTATTTATTTGTTATAATGGTTGTAAGTTTGTGCTCTCTCTTTCTTTTTCTCTCTATATTTTCTTTAAATATACGTTAAACTTGTAATCTGTAAGTCATTTTAATTTTTTTAAAAATTAATACAAGGTTACTTTAAATATCCCTTCTTTTAATTATTTAGTGTATTGGAATTTGAGAGACACATACACTCAATCAATAAGCGTGATTTTAAAACAATACCCGAAAAAACCAATGTTTGAAATCTTATTGGGACTAATATAATGCCTTCGATAAGCTTCTATATCTAGAAGATAAGTAAATATTTGTTAAGTTCTCAGGTTTTTTCCACTTAAAATTAATTTTTTGTGGAATAAATCCCAATCAAGTCATTTTGTTATGTCCACCCTTTTCCATAACTCCATCAACCAAGCTAAGGGGATGTTTGATTTACAATAAAAATATTTTTAAGTGTTTTTATGTAAGTCAAAACAAAATTCCTCTTGTATATTTATTTTATATACTGTAACATTACTTTTAAGATCGTGATTTGGTTTCTACCCATATAGTCCCTCAAGTCAATATGCTTGTGTAGGTCAAGTCTTTGGACCTTCCTCTCATCATCATCATCATCATCATCATTCCAAGCACTGTGAAATGGATGCTGACCAAGTAAAAGACGTTATACTAATTATCAAGATCTTTGGAATTCTTTGCCAAGTTTTCTTTTTCAAATTCATTTAGTATATGCAATTACTAGAAGAATTATCTTAAAAAAAAAAATAAATATGAGAGATAAAGTGAATTAGGATTTTATATTTAAGACCAAATTAAAGTCAAACTAACTCTCATATTAAGAAGCAGATGATGTATATATATATTTGTATAGCCTAATCTTTCTCAAGTTTTTTTTTTTTTGCTTGACAAAAGTCTTCCCACCTCTTTTCCAAGTCTTCCAACCTTCTTTTCCAAGTCTTTCCCCCAAATCATAGTCTATCACTCTATGCAAAGATTATAAAGTCTTCGTCTTCAATGCCTCTGAAACCACAGTACAGTGAAATTTGCTCAAGTGCATATTGACTAATGGAACTCACAGAGGAGCGTCCCTTCTTATCTGCTTCCACGAAATTGCATCAACCAAAGTTGGAGAGTGCGCTTTTACGGTCTTTCAGTTCTTTTCCAAGCAACTTCACTACTTTCCCACTGTACTTCTTCAACTTCTGTATCTTAAATCATTTCTAACCATCTTATTAAAATGGGAAAATTTCAATTAAGGACCGCAGATGGGAATTACTTTCAAATAGCCCCAAAAAATCTAAAATTTCAGTTAAGGATTTTGAAATTTCATTAAAAGACTTAGGGGGCAAACTGAAATTAATTCCTGAAGCCATTTTACTGAAATGCCTTGCGTACTATATCTGCTGAAAAAGAAGAAGAAAGAAGGAAAACGAACAGTTTCGTGCATGGGGTAAACATTTTCCCCAAAATTTCGTTCTGTTGAGCTGATTGTTGGGTTGTGATAGTTGAATAATGTAGAAATGAGTGTTTAAATGCATGGATAAATAGATAGTGAGGGAGAAAAAAATCTGATATAGCTTTTAAGTTTAGAGAGAGATTGTTATTTTCTTCTTCTTCTTTGGAGTTAATAAACATGAGGTATTAGCGATTTTTGAAAAGTAGGTGAGAATAGGAAAACACTGACTGCAATACATTGTTGAAGGAACTCAGGAAGGGAGAACTGAAAGGAAAATGGGTGAATGTGTTGAAATCACTGATATGAAAACGAAATGTGCAGAAAATGGTAACTTACAGTTGGGAAAATATGTATTCGAATTGTAAATTTTTGAATTGGAGTTGTCCAGGAAAATGACAATTTAATGCTATGAAAACCGATATTTTTGTTGTAAACCTGCAAATTCCTGTTGTTAACGCATACTGTCTATTATTATTGAAAGTTGATTGAAATTGATAGTTGAATGATGTGCACTAAAAGATTATAAATAGCTACTGGTGGTGGTAAACAATGAGAAAGACTTGAGACAAGCATCACAGTTGGATAGTGCATGAGAGTAAGTGGGCATATTTGGTAGTGGGTTGTAATCTTTTTCATATAATAAATTGATAGTTGAAATATTTCATGACTATACGTGACAACAAGGTATCCCAAGTTTTGCACTAAAATTGGCCGGTAAAACTATAAATGTATGAAAGATTTCGTCTATTTTTGAATGGATGTATTTCTGTTGTTAATTAATGTATTATTTTTACAAATTCTCTAATTCCTGTTGTAACTCACGTATCATTTTAGCACATTCCCTAACTCTGTTGCCAATTACGTAAGTCCACTAACAAATACACAAGTTCTTGTTCTAAATTTCCCAATGCCTTTTACAAATTGTCTAAACCCAATCGTAAATACATTTGACAGACTCTAGCATGATGGTTCAGTTATATTTTGAAAAAAAATCACTTGTAAAAACAGGAGCTCCTGTTGTAAACTTAGATATCATTATTGCAAATTCTCTAATTTTAGCAGTCAACATTTGCACTCAAAGTATGAAATTTGTGGGGGGAAATATATTATCATTACTAGACATGTAATAAACACATAATATATAGTTTATTGCACTGAAAATGAAATTGTAGGTAATCCTTATACGTAAAAATTGACACATCCTTTGCTAATATAAAAGACATCTTGAGCTGATAGATCTCTCTTCAATTTCTCTTGGTTGTGTTTGTATCTTTGCAAGTAGTTATACAACAGCTGCTAACTATGTATTTCTTGCATGAGTAATGAGCCGCCACAGCAAGCCTGATCTTACAGAACTAAGTTTTTCCTATTGCACAACATTAA